TGACGGCCACTAGACATCAGAAAATAAATATCGCTTACACAGTCAGAAAGACCAAAGTCACCTAGACTACCCGTTTGGATTTCATAAATTCTAGAGAGTCTATTTAAGTAAGTTTACTGTCAGGTGGATTATTCTCAAACCATGACTGCGTTCAATACTTTTTCGAGTTCTTCGTTAACACCCCGCATTAAGTTAATGGATTAAAAGTTTCACATTTGCAGTATTTAAGCAGGCAAGCAGGCAAAACCAACTATATCTTCTCCAATAAACGAATAACACTTCAGGCAAAAGTGAATTAAGTACGAAAGCAATATGGTTATTTTCATGCTACTGGTAAAGTCGTCTAAAATGCCTTCTAACACTACTGAAGAGTCAATATCATTTCATTCGTACACAATAGCACCACATGGGCTAAAAATAGTGAATACTGTTGACGATGAGGAGTCTGTTTTACAAAGTTTATAGTCTAACTGGCATAAAGGCAAGTAATTTTTAAAAAAAAGCCTTTTTGCTATTTTATTCGCTTACCTAGAGAAGTTAGACGCAATTGGACTGAATTATTTCGAGCACAGACTGAAATTGCTCTTGCGGCAGCTATTTGGACACTGATATCGGACGTCTTTGAGAGTAGATCCAGCAGTCTTTTTTCGACACCATTCAATATTAAGATTTGAGTGTACTTCTCTTCAGCGGAAAAAAGAATGTAAAGCGTCAAGGCTGCTAATTGCTACATGGGAGAAGTCCAGGTAGTAAAACGAAACAGTGTTCTTTTAAAGTTCTTGGTAAACACAATCTAGGCCCCTGTTTCAACTTAAAACTTTGAAACCTACCGTATTGCGAAATTTTCTGTAAAATCTTGCAACAGTTACATTGAATTTCCGGCAAATATGACTTTTCGAGGTTGGGGTCACGCTTAGCTGAAAAGTAATGGGTAGGTGTTATAAGTCTTTCTGTTATTACTTTGACCACTCGTCCCTTGTATGGTCAGCAAAATTTAAAAGATGTCAAAAACTATGGTACGCCTTTTTGCTGTTCAAGTGAGAGAAATGTCGGAATTTTCTTGCAGACTACGGAGTCGGTGAATTAGACTGTTGAATATGACGAAAACAGCATTAGTGGTTAGAGATTAAAAAAGATGCATTTAGCATCGCGAAGAAAGTCATTAATTGTGAGGCTATGATTAATAAGGGTCAAATTATTCAAACATGTAAAACTGCTAATAAATTAGTCAGCGTCACTGCCGTTTTAAAGAATTTTCAGAACTTAGAACTGATGGAGAAAGAGAGGAGTTTGTTGATTTATTAACAGTACAAAAATAGTGTTGCATTTCCAGCAAATACGTTTTTTAATACAACTATGACTTGTCAGTCTGTGAGCCGTTAAGTAATTGTCGTGAAAAATCGGATTCTGAATCAGTTCGCCTCAAGAATTACCACCCACATTGATCAAACTTTGGAGGTGTACAGATTCATAATTTATTCACTCAATATTTCAAAAATTAAAAGCTATAGTGTTACTCATGTACAAAATTCATAAATTGTATTCAACCAGAATACAAAATGCCATACTGGTAGTTTTTGAACGGATTCGTCTTGAGGACCCTTGGGCGGTTCTTGTGCGATTGGTCTTGCCAGTGCCATCGTAAATCGGACCTACGTCTTCAGCGTAATTGGTGGCAATATGTAGGATTCGGGGAATAATCGTAGTCACATCAATGCTCTACAAATTTTGTTCAACAAAATCCCTTTAACGATTCCATGTATTTATGTAAAATATGTGGTCAACTTCATTTTCAGTTTAAAGCACGGTACTGATATTATTACGTGCAGCTACAGAAGAATCAAATTTTGCTCCCGAGTTTACCTCCAATGCCGAAGAATCTTCAAAAAGAACTGAGAAGACGTTAAGTAGTTTGGCGGTTACAGTTATTGGTTGGGCACTCTCGAACATCAAAGTTAACTTTGAGAGTAAGTCAGACGAAACGAAAGAGCTGCGATTAGGCTCTATAAAAATAAAATATTCAAATGAACTAAAGCAGATACCATTTCGTTGTTATTGGCAAATCTGGCAGCATTTAAGCCTAAATCTAGGTCAAACTGAACAATTCATCCTAAGATATGACCGAGGGATTCAGCATACTGACATCGATCTAGACTTTAATGGCGGTTAAACTAGAAGGAATGCTACTGCAGCAGCCTCCAACGACGGCAAATACATACAATTTCAAATACTCTTTAAAATTTAAGAATTTAGAGTAGGATTATTTAGCAAATAGGGAAATTATAACAATGAGCGAGGTTACATTGCAATCTTATTGTTTACTCACACTGGTAGATTTTGATAAAATGGCGACAGGACTGAGTGCACCCAATCGCTTGTGTCATAATGTTGCGTGAAAGATTATACAGGGCTTGTAGATGGAGCAGACCAACTGAGTGTCGGGGAAAGAAAAGAAAGAGTGCATCAAAATTGCAAATCGTTTTGAGTCAAATATGTTTGAGAAAAATTTCCTGTGACATGCCTTTATTGGTTGTCCACTACAAAACAACTACCTTTAGGATTTGAAAATCATCACACAGCAATACTGAAGTGTGCAGCTACTCATCACGGTAAAAAAAAACAAATTGGTTGTTATTTAATTCAATTCGCTTTTTTCAACATTTGTCCCCACAGTTAAAATTGGAAAACAGCTACCCTAGATGAATGAAATTTAATACTCTCCATTTACAGCATTATAAACCAAGGCTTATTTTTAGACGGATATTTTGAGACAGATCCAAGTACATCGCTGAGATGTCCGAAAATATTTTGTTTAGCAAACCCTTTTTAACTGGTGGCTATCAATCAATTTGCTGTGCCAGAAATGAATTTGACATTTGATAAAGTTATTAGCTTTAGATATTAGGAAGGCTACGTAACAAAGTTGTCTCAATTTATCATTTATATAAGGTGCAATGTCATGACTGTGTTGTGATGGGAACATTTCTAATCAATATATATTGACCAAAATATGCAAATTTATCTGGGAGGAATAGCAACCACAAACAACTTTTAATCATCGACTTAACCTCCAAAATGTAGCAAAATAAGTAATCATTTGGTAATTTACAAAATACTGGTTTCCCCTATGAAAAGATTGTGGGTATTTTGTAGACATCTGTAAGTGCTTTAATTTTACTTTCTATATTCTCAGGCCGTTTCTGTGAACACAATTGATTTGGTAAATCAAAATAAACAATTACTTAGAAATCGCAAAGAGTGATGACTGTGTGCTAGGATGCATTATCAAACGTGGCAAAAAAGTGAAAAGCAAAACGCACCATACTATGATATGCGAGAATATTCAAAAACGTACCACAAGTCATGGCCTCAGCAATGCACGTAAGAGCCAACGTTTGAATCTCCACGACTTCAGTATTGACGCAATCCATCAATTTAGCAAAAATATGGTTCTTGTGAAAGTGATTTTTAAGTTTAGTATCCTAAAACTGAAAATATAAAACCCCAAAATTACCTTCATAACAACAAGCAGAATTTCTAAAGCCAACAATTTTACTTCTGTGTCAGAATTCTCAACAGAACGCAAGACGCAACTAAAACCATCAATTTGGCAAAATTGCTGTAGAAATGGGATCTGCTGAAGCAAAATTTTTAAAATGTGCAAACAATGCAACTGGAAAGTTTCTAAGTAAATCAATAAAAGTCACAAAAAGACACCAATATACCTGAGTTATTGATAAATGCAACGCACTTTAGCATTAAAACTTCAAACTCGCAGCAAAAGTTAGTAGCATTTACTATCCCAACTAATTTATCCAATATTTTCAGTGACATTCCTTTAGTAACGTCGCTTTGATCTTCTAACATATTTATCAACACTTTAACAGGTAATAATTCCAAATTCGCCACAACAAAATCCTTTTCTGTACAGGTAACATAAAAAATATTGAGAACTTTACCGTTCAAAACTTCTTCGAGAATAAATGCTAGTGATTTTGCCTTAATGTCAGATTCACTTGAATTCAGTAAGAGCAGAGCTCTTTCCAAGCTATTGCATTCGAATGAAAACTTTTTAAACTAGTTTTAATGACAATGAATAAGTGGAAAAACAAACCTTTTCCGCTCTAGCACTTTTTCTGCCACTACCCCGCATATTTGGAAAATTACTGCTATTAATTTTTCAACATTACTGTTCGATCTAAACAAAGTTCAGGGTCTACAAGACAAAATGCTGCATTACTAATGTTTAGTTTGTGTTACATTTTAAAAAATAACAAAACAGCATCTAGTATATCTGAGCAATGGTCAATATCAATACGACTAGGAATACCCAGTTTTTTTTAATATACACATTGAGTTTAATATATATAATCTATTGTAGTAGATGAGCACAAAAATTTAGTCTGACTTTCCATTAAACAAATATTGGCGATCTAGTACAAATTAAAACCTAAGTGCACACGTATTGTACTCGGTTTTTCGTCATGATAGCCTCCTTGCTCCGAATATATCATATTACAATAAAACGAGGAGAATTTAACTATGAAACAAAGCAAAATGGCTTTACAAATATCGAAATCAAACGAACTTTTAAAAGTTTTCGATTTTTTGTTTCCGCAAACTATAGCCTTAAAACATTAAATGCCTTCAGCCTGCCATCTATCACTTCAGTTCTCGCTTATGGTTTATCAAAAAAGTCTGCTCTATTCTATCCCTCATCTGAACGATAAAAGTCGGATATTTTACAGCAGATTTTAGATAACTTCCATATTCTTTGCTGCTTTTCAGCAAGGGATATTAATATTCATGATTTTTCCGATATAAATTCTGACACAATCTATACATTTTTTTTATTTTTTCGGTATCACCAAAGTTTGAAAGTAAATCGTAGATTCGCTAATGCGTTTGTTATTTTATTATAAAATTAGGTTTACTGCGTACACATTTTCTTTCCAAACTTTGGTGTTTATATTCATTGTGTGCTTACTGCGCATATTAAGATGCAGCTAAAACGTGCAGTTACTGATTCTCGATTTGGTTCTAACGATAAAGTACGTGTTTTTCGTTTATTATTTTTTTTTGAAGAAAAAAACAAAGATTGATTCTGATGATGAGATTCCATCAGACACTGATGAAAGCGAACTGAGGTAAATGCAAATGTTACATAAATCTTGTTTCAGTGATGTGTCAGGCGAGGAGCCCGAGGATGAATTTGATGGAGAAACACCACACGAAAAGCATGTTAGACTAACAAAGAAAGCTCTAGCTGAGGCCCTAAAAACAGGTTTTTTTGATTTTTCGATACTTTACATTGATTAATCAGTTGGTTCTGACGAGGAAGATGCGAGGGCAGCATTGTCTGTACGCTTGCAGGAGGAAGCGCTCCAGGCCCGGGGAAAGCTATTCTCTAAGATAGCTCACACTGTATGTTGTTCAAACAATGTGATGTCTTTTGACTAGTATAAGCCTGTTTCTCTTGCCGACGCCGTTTGTCTAAGGGGCCATCGAAAGTCAATAAATTGTGTTTGCATTTCATCTGACTGTTCATTCTTATATTCCGGAGGCAAGGACGCATCTATATTTAAATGTAAGACTTTTTTTAATCGGTTGGATGTTTAGGGAGTTTGATCGATTTTCGAAAAATATGCTCAGCCCATGGTGGGCCCAAAGGATCTAATTCCAAATACCACACTGGTCCAATTCTGTCAATGGACATTTCAGACGACGGAAAATACCTTGTAACTGTTATATTTTGTGCTTGATCGATGTATTGCGTATTTAACGAGTCATTAAATTTTAGGCGTCAGGCAGCTCTGACAAAAGTATTCTTGTTTGGAACCCAGACGATCTTCTTGTTTTGTTCCGCTTGCAAAGACACTTTGCTCCAGTTACCGTAAGTTGATATGGTGGACCTACGTAGATCGATGTCGTACGAATTTTGATCCCCAAATTTTTGACAGGCTCTCAGTTTTCGCCGTCAGTCACATATGATGTTTTCCGGTGATCGATCCGGTCGGGTCTGTGTTTGGAACATGCCTCTTACAGAAATATTACAGGATCAAGGGTACGTCCTATCTTACCTTTTTGTTAACATAATGTGCTTACCGAAAACTCTTAGGGCGGCCACTAAGGTTGAGGTACTCTCAATATGCGGACTTTCGGCAGAAAGATGCGTTTCTTCTTCTGGATTTGGGGGTGCAGGCATCTGCTTGTGGAAGGTCGAAGAAGAGGTTTGCGTTCAGTACAGTGTAAAGAATATCTCCGAGTAAGCGCTGTTGTTTACTTTATGCAATGTTTAATTGCCGCTGATATGTGTGTTGTTAATTTTAGGCACTCTGTTGAATGCGTTTATGCCGTTAATGATGATCTTTTCATTGGTGGATCAACGTCTAAGTGAGTTAAATCCCCGAAATATCTTACTTCTTCATGTGTTTCGTTATTTTTTGTGTTACAGCCCGACCTTCAGGTCCTTTATTGTAATAAACCTAGCCTCACTGCTCACTTGAGACAAATTCTTGTTGCCTAGTCTAATTTGATAATTAGCTATTATTCACGTTAGGCGCAATAACCGATGCGCGTCATGCAATTCTTAATGTTTTTAAGGTTTTTTGCCTGATTACTTATGTAACAAATTAATATTACCTTGAAATATACTTGACGACAATATATACTTCCAAATCATTTAGCAGATTAGCCACATCCTACGTGTAGATTGACGATATTGTAAAGCCACCAATTTTCTGGCAAAAATTAATCAGGATGATCACTTATTTCGCCCCTAAACACAATCCGTTAAGTTTTGTGAATGAGTCCTAACTAAAGAAGAACTTTGATTTGCGCCATTCAGCATTCAAAACATGTAGTAAGGGATAAATTTATTCAAAGTTCCATATTGTCATTGATTCAAATATGAGCCATGTATTTTTTCATTCCCGAAAAGGGCAACAAAATACCGCCGTGAACGAAATCGAGTAGGGTCTGAGTTTTTGCGTTTCTTCATTTCACTAGCACGCTGTACTTGTGGCACGTTAGCCGCGGAAGTCCTATCTCAAAAATCTACCCAGCCCACCCGCCTGTAACACGTGATATGGATTCACCAACATCCCGCCCTGCACTGAATTGGGTTACAGCAGTTTCCGGTCTTTTTGGCACCGACCTATTTGCTTCAGGTTCCTCTACTGGCCACGTTCGGCTTTGGCGACTCGTTGTAGAAGGAAAGGCATTCACATTCGGCGATGAGGATGAAGAGCCTAGGAGTAAGGGGCGTCTAAAAGTTCACCACGACACCACCAAAATCGAACCCATTCCCAATGGAGAGTTCCACTTGGTAAGTGTTCTGTCCTTTTAACCAGATGCATTAGCCTTGGCAAGAAATAACACCACGTTACTTGCGATGATACTTAGTCCAGTTGCTACTTTGTATATTTCCCATTCACATAAAACTCTGGCCTTGTGAAGTCCTTCCCAAACCCTATGGGATTTCGATATTTTTGCAAAATTCCGCGTCATGGTTTCTTGCAACTATCGTAAACACATCTCGCATGTCAGTACTAGCTCGAGTGCTCATAATGCTCCCCGTGACCACCCAGTCCTGGCTCCTCTACTTTATGTGTCCATAATTAATGTAGTCAGTAGTCTTATTTTTTAAGCCTAGTCTTACCGATTGCTGGATTTTGAGAATCAGTAATAGTGCTTTGCTTTTTAACTAGGCGGGCTATGTAAATAGTTTGGCATTTTCGAATGATGGGCAGTGGTTGGCTGCTGGGATCGGACAAGAGCACCGCCTGGGGCGTTGGGAGGATCGAAGAAAAGTGAACGACGTCGTCTGTCTCCTCCCCATTAATATTTCATTCAAGTGAGAACGTGTATATATAAACTGTTAGCACACATCATAAGCGTATGTAACATTGTGCCATTACTTTAATATCCGTCTAGCGAAGCAATGAAGAAAAATTAGCTTAGGATCTTTTCCTACATTTTAGGCGTTCATCGTAAATGTTGACATGAAATTCGGGAGCGTTGTTCTCCGATAATTTTGTACAGCTACGAAGTCTGAATAAAGATTCTTTTAATTTCGGCGTATTTAAAACCAAACTGGAGTCTTTTTTACCACTGTGAATTTCGAAGAAGAACTACAGTCAATCAGCGTTATTATTAGTAAAAAAATGTATTTACACGGTGGCTGATTCGACCACCTTAGTTGACGGCAGACTAAAAGTTTAGATTGATTATTGAAATAGCAAGAACCTACTCGGAACTGTTCTTCGATATTTGAAATTTCGCTGATAAGGTCCTTTATAGCAGAAGAAAACACCTCGAGCGGAGTGACAGTCGGAGATGTCTGTACACGAATGACTATTCGGTGTTCCAAAGGATGAGGGACCTTGTATCCGGCGAACAGCACACGAGGATCCTTTAGCAGTTGTCTGCAAGATAGGCGACGGTAAACTTTTAAGAGTAATGAGGCAACCACTCGAAATTTGGCGGTTAAATGAACATATCAGTAAATCAAATCACAGGTGTCGCATAACATAAGCGAAAGAAAGATGTGCAAGGGTTACCGAAAAGGGTTTTACTCTGCATGAAAACAGACTGAGTCTAATACACCAACACAAATTTAGCAGGAGTAAAGCAGTTAACGGCAACAAGGTTCTATGCAATACGTCCTACAAGTACGCCTTATAGGATGTAACGATAGGTGAGACAATGAATTACGTTAATAGTGTAAAAAATCATTCCCCACCGAGTAATCATGTTGCCGAGTGTGTGATCCTCGCGGTTTAAAGTGAATATTGCAGCGTGTGGAACATGTGTATCTTTTTCAACAAAAACTCTAGAAAAAAACTTTACAATAACAGTAAATACTTTTTCTCTCCCTCTGTTAGAAGGAACGACTCGAAAGCTGCGGGTGCATTCATTACAAGCAAATTCAGATGAGTCGAATTGAGCGCCTTCGTCAATAACCATTAAAACATAAATCAGACAAATTTTAGATATACCGGTTAGTAACATTAGTATGCTGCTATGACACTTTCCTTTCACTTTACGTTAATTTTTCGCCGTCTGTGTAGTTACCATTATGTAAGAAAATTTAAAAAGACGATTCAAAATATATGAAATGCAAATAAGAAATTTTTACTTCAGACATCTAAACGTAGGGAAGATCAACTTTCGCTCAGAAAAATTAAAGGTTTCCTACTTTCGTAAAGAGGACTCCTGTCTTAGTTCACATTGAAACAGGTATATGAACAATAATATTAAATTAGTTCAAATCTCAGATGGGTGTCACATTTAGCCCAGACGTTAATAAATTAGCACAAACGTGCAATTTATGACACAAAGACTTAAATAATAGCAAATTAGGGCTCTCTTTGTGCTAAATTGTCCTGTTTATGCCATGTTTCATCAGGTTGCAGGTGTAAAAGTACGTAACGTCTGATATTACAAGGAATTACTGAGTATAATTAGAAGCATTGCTATCATTGTTATAGCCTAATATCCTTAAAATTTAGTAGCGCTTGCTGTTTCCTTACTTTCCTATTAAATAATGGGTAAGATTTACGTTCCATAGCTGTTAAATAAAATTTGGATATTGAAATGTAATAGGAGTTAACCGACTTCGTTAGCACTGTCATACAACCATGCTCTAGTTAATAAGTTTTACTCATTCTCCAGTAACAAAAATTTACTAAGGCAGGACTATCATTGACAAACGAAAATTTCTAAGGCCCAAAAATTTGAGGTGAATACCATTGTGGTGCTTGTTAAGCAAAAGGTCTGATAAAAATAAAGTCAAATATGTCGCCTTGGAAATTTTTTGTAAAAAAACGACCCCTGTTCTGCGTCATTGATATATTTTGCCACCATCGTTTAACATAGTAACCTTCCGCAACATTCAATATAATTATTTAACATACAATCTAGCGAAATTCAAAGTTAACATTAATTCATGGATTTTAATACAGCATATCAACATTTTGTACCTGCATAAAAACTAAATGAAAATTTTGCGGCATATTTTGTTTTGTTTTTGCCTTGCTGGGCAAAAAATTAGCAGGTCTCTTTACTGGTCTCGTGATGTCCTCATTAATAGAGTTTTACAAAAAATAAAGATTTGTAAAAAAGAGATTAAGAGTGAATGGTTTTTCTCTAAAGCTTGTTTTTCAGAATATATATTCAAAGGAAAAGAATTGTCTGTTAGTAGAAATTAAACCACATCTAAAGAGCTTATACAGATCGTTTATTGTCACGTGCCAGCTAAACGAACCTAACTGCAGAGAGCTTTGACGGTGGCATTTATTAAGAAGTATTATATATATATATATATATATATATATATATAT